CATAGGTTTCATTTCAAACTGGAGGGCCCGAGTCCAAGTCGGAGTTACCACATGTTCGGTGCGTCTTTTCCACCGCAAAGTCGCATGTGGCTGGGGTTTCGGGCCTGAGCCGTCGCATGAAAGCACACCGCACCGTAAACTTAAACGGATTTGCAGAACCAGTCTATGTCTGGTCAACAGTTGACAACGGTTGAGTAATTGACCTCCCGAAAGGGCTGGGCTCGAAGTCCTCAACCTGTGAGCCCGTGAGATGTTGCTTACTTGGCTCTGCACCCGCAAATATCTAGATGGTGCAGCACGTTTGCCACGTCGTTTTGTGCCGAGCTTTGCGAGCCTGAAGTTGACATTGAGTGATCTGCCGTATTGATAGTTGCAGCTGAGGCCCTCATGTTTTCACCCAGAAATAGCACCATTAAATCAGAAGTTGAACCATTTCCATCATAAGCCTTGTAAGTGAGGAAACACATTCAAGCAGCCGAAGCATGATTTGCCATTGCCAACACATCTTGGGCAGGCTTTTTGTAATCTAGATGTTCACCCATGCTTTCGTAGCCGTAGCCATGGTAGCAAACACAGCTACCTGGGCTTGGCTAGGAGTTCTGGAAGAGGTTGTTGGCAGAGAGGAATCGATCGCTCATCAGCCATCCTACGTACCCGAATTTTTGCGAAGCAAGCTTACCCATGCTGGTGTCAAACTGCAACCGCCTGATCGATCAGCTTCAGTATCCACAACAGTACCGGTGCATGGCTTGGTATCTGTGCGTGTTGGTGCAACTTTTGATGCAGCGTCGAGAGGAGCATGGTCTAGGGAGGCATTGTTTCTTCAGAGTGCAGTGTACAAGGGCGCTTTGGATGGGTACCTACTTCAGATAGCTAGTTCTTTCTTTTTTCCATCCTGGGAAACTGAGCTACATATTTGCGAAGTTCAGCGGAGGGCTCATGGATGGAATGAGAGAACCCGCTCTGGAGGCATACGGCTTGCACAGTCTGGCAGAGGTCGTCGTCTAAGTCATCACATATTCCTGCCACATTCTTGGAAGCTTGGGGAGGATGAGTCTCCTATAGACATACATCGGATGATTCTAGACCTGTCTGTCAGCAAGGCGGGGGCGCCCGATGGGCAAGTGCAGTCTTTGAGCAGCGTGTTGGAACCAGCTGAGATTGCATCATTGGACTTGAGCCAGTGCCCTTGTATCTTGTTGCCGAAGTTTCTGTTGCAACTGGTCAAAGTAGGTTTGTGGAAAGAGGTGATAGCTTTGACTCGATGGTCCCACCCAGCAGTGCCATCACTATGCCAGGGTTTGCCGGAGGATTGGGTGCGATTGACTAAAGGCAAGTCAGAACAACCCCGACAGCCTGCAATTCTGTCAGAGAGAATGGCAGGTCTTTGTAGTTCACTATTGCGTCGTGCCACACCACACTTGATTTCAGAAGAGATGGACGAGGAACTTGCAGCTGGTCTACAGGGTGAGCTTGATATGTGTAACGGGGCGTTGGAAAGTCATGCGCTATCCATGATGCCTTCTCATCAGGGAGATCGGGGCCAATCGAGCAGTCGACGTCGGAGTGCAGAGTCCTTGTTAGCTCAAGTTTTGGCAGCGTTGGATTTGCGTAATCAGGGACATTTTAAGCGTCATGCCATGAAGTTTTTGCGTTGTGTGCCAGAAGACTTGCAAGAAATGTTACGAAATCATTTCGAGAAGCACGGGGCGAGCAGGAGCCAAGTGAATCGCGGAGGCCTCTTTCTGGATCTTGCACTTTTGTTGGAGCATCGTTCACGGATGGAGCGGCTTGGGCCGGTGGTGCGATATGCGTGGGGGGATGCGACCAGCAAAGGCGGCCGAGAGATCTACAACACACGATGTCGTTTCATAGAAGTGTCAAAATTGGTGCAGCTCGCACGTGGCTGGAAGTTTTTGTGCTTGAACCCAGCTTCGGCTGATCAAGATGCAGAGCAAGCAGAGCAACGTTATAATCATTCGCAGGCATTGTTTGACAGTGTTCATTTGCACACACATGTCCCCCAGTACCTCGGCCAAGGCCGCGCGACGTTGCTTGACAAAGTCAGTGCACATGTGCATTCCACATTGTTAGAAGCTGGCACAGTTTCTGCGATGTCGGGCGTGTTAGATAGCGTCGTGGCGTGGGTCACTGATATGGGTGTGGAATCTGGGCTTCCAAACTGTCATGTGAGCACTCCAGAGTCAACCTTGCCATCCTTTGTTCGTCCTCGTCGACTTCAGGTGTGTCCAGAGGATGACGAGTTTGTTGAAGAAGGGTTCCATGAGATGCAGGGAGAGGCTGCCTCGAATACTGCCCTGATGCCAGCAGCCATTCATCTGCCAGGCGTGTGTCATGCAGTTCACAATGCAAGTGCAAACTTGAACTCAGCGTTGTCTTACTTCGATGATTTTATGAGCAAGCTGCGTGTTGTACACAAGTTCTTGGGATCACCGAGTCGAAGGGAGCGTTTCGTGGAGGTGGTTTTGCAAGGCAAGCCGAGTTACAATGTGGGCAAGAGTATCTTCAAATCATTTACCAAGACACTGTATGAGGAGCGATGGGGCGAAGTGGCCTCGTATTTGAGTTCTGCTCAGTCTCTTTTCACTTTTCTGAGGTTACATTGGGATGAAACTGCGTATGTCCGGGATGCGGGGGGCGATGCGGACGTTGCAAGTGCAGAAGATAACTTCTCAGCAAGTGGTTTGACAGCGTTGATAAAGGATGGGTTCTTCCATGGCTACTGGGAGATGCAGCTACATATCCGCACTTGTTTGCAGCGGTTTTTGCGTTGGGCCGAAGGCTGTTCTTGCCATCCTTTTGCAGATGGCACCCCGTACACCCGAGAGACCAAACTGCGAGGTGAGATTTCTTGCCCACGTGAGGTACCTTGCACCTGCCCCATGATGGGCTGCCAAGCGCCATTCCTTGTTGAGGGGAAGTTGCAAAGTTTCAGGGAAGAGTTGCTGTCCACGGGTTTTAACGATGTAGTGTTGCACTGCCATTGTCAGTTGACTGCAGTGCAGTGGAGTGATCTGGAAGCTGAGTGGAAGCGTGGGTGCCAGTACTTGTGTGAAAATCTCAAGCTGCGGCTGGCTTTCTTCGGGAAGCTGCCGTGGTCCATCTTAGGAGGTTGCCATCCGGATCCCGAGGTATCAAGGAGATTGCTTGCTGCGGCCAGGGATGCATGGAACGATCTGCCAGCCGATTCCCACGAGCTGCAGCACCCAGTTGCTAAGCAATTGTTCAAGGCTAGCCTCATGGAGGACGAACTTGACTCTTATTTGAAAGGGGAATCAGCTTTGGAGGATTTGCCACTTCTAGAAACATTCTTGGCGAAGCTTACCTTTGTGCAAGTGGCGGAGCGTATCATAGAAGGTGCACACAAGGATATGGGCCAGGTGACTAATTCCAAAAGCCCATCTGCACTGTCGATAGCGCTTCGGGCCCCTGAGTTGAATCGCAGGTTGTCTCTCAGCTCAACTTTTTTTGCTGATCTGGTTGAGGCTTTTGAGAAGAGTCGAAAGATTCGTAGATTTCGCGAAGAGTTTCCTGCCCATGCCCAGCATCCGGACATCTTATCCTTGGACAAGAATGCTCAAACATCGAGGTTCGTTTCTGTGGTGAGACGTGTCCTCTATCGTGACTCACGTCACCAGCATGCCGACCTTTCAACAGCCAAAGCAAATCTTCAAGAGGGAAGAGGGGAACAGGATAGACTAGCCAAGCCTTTCGCTGCAGCAGCTCCCAAGGTGTCAGAGGCAACAATCATTGCCCGTGCTGTACATGCGTTCGTGCAGGAAAGGTGCGAGGAAGATCAATCTCGTGTTTTCTCGATTGGAGACATGTTCTTCACACCTCTTGTGTTGCGGCCGTCAGCTATTCGTCGGCCAAGGCATGCCCCGGGGGTCCAGGCCGATGTCGGTCGTGGGGATATGTTGGTGTCTGTCCTGCAACACGATGCTACGTCTCAAGGTCCTCATTCCCCTTTTGTCTCGCCGTTGCAATCAGAAGCACATAAGCTGAATCTGGAGACAAAGGTTGAAGAAATGGGAGTGTCAGATTTCTTGGAAGGGTTCCGGTCGTGGCAGATGAGTAGCTCTCGCCATTTCACGTTGCCCCTGCCTGCAGACGTGCGTGTGGATGCGAGTGAGCTTTCTGTGCTAGTAAC